ATCGATATAGACCAATTCCACGTCTTCTCCAGGTTCGGCTCGATCAGCTCGACTTTTTTCTTTAAACAATGCTCTGGGGTCCAACTCGTCTTCTTCAAGAAGTGGCTCTTTCCCAGGTCAGCGACCTCGGTCTTCGGTTAAAGGATCCGAGGTGGAAGGATCGCCGTCGTGGTTTTTTGGTTCTTCAGTCACCGCATCGTCTGAAGAGTGCTGCTGTGGAGAGGCTTCATTATTACCCATTGAAATTGAATGAATTCCATTGGATGGGATAAACGCAACAAGTTGTCGAGCTTCTCTTTGATCTCCGAAGTGGGTTCCTTCTCCCCGGGTTGACGGGAACTTTAATGCATAGTGAAAGATAGAAACTGCAGCTCGAAGTTTGTACAATGCCGTTCTGCCGATGATGGTGTTGTACTCATTATTAATATCCATAACCTTAAAAGTTTCCATGACGAGTTTGGTGACATTCTCCGAGGTGCCAAATCGGACAGGTAAAGTGATTTCTCCGATGGGCTTTGAAATACTGCCATTAAACCCTTGGATTTGATCGTTGCAAGGTCGGATTTCGGCGGGGTCAAGACCCATCTTGTCAAAAGCTTTCAACATCAAGATACTTGAATAGGCCCCAGTGTCCACCATGACACGATGAACAGGAATACCGCAAATAGGGACGATAATAACCAGTGCGTCGGAATGAGGATGAGCGAAATGATTAGCATCCTCCATATTAAAGGTTATGGGGCAATTTCGATTGTTGAGAACATCTCTCAAATCAGTAGTTTAAACCTGTTTGCCGGAGTTGTGCGCTTGTCGGGCATATGCCTTGACCTGTCGACGGGACAATGTACTCCGGGAGTTGTTGGTATTGACCCGGTGGACGGTGACTTGCATTGGTTCAAAAGACCTATCTCGTTTTCGTCCTCGGGAAGTGCCAGCAGAGTTAGAATCGGACTTCTCCGAGGTGAACATGAATACTTCTTTTTCTCCTTGTCGGATGCGTTTTGTCATAGCACCTCGGTCTTCCTCATCGTTTTCATCATCAAAGGATTCGATCTGACGTCCAGGACCTCGCCTCTGGGGATCAGTGTTACGATAAAATTTTCTAAGCTGCGGATGGCCGATTAAACGCAACAATGCGGCCAACAAACTCAAACACTCGTCTGTGTTGTGCCCTGGCGACTTATGATAATCGCAATATTGGGACTTGTCCAGTTTTTCTTCAGGCATCCGAAGTGGCTTGGGATCTGGCAAAATGCCCTTCCCTTTGATTTCTTCATAAATAGTGGCTGCTCCCGCCGAGTACACAGTTTGATAACCGGACTTCACGTCGGTTGCGTACTGTTTTCGGGCCGCTCGGACTTCAGGATCATTGGGGTCTCCCCGAGGAGGCCCTCTGAATTGAGTCTTATTTTGCTTATCGAAAAGTTTATTCTTCCTTTTTTCGTCGGTTCCCGCTTTAGAAGACTTCGGGTTAAAGTTGAAATCGGGAACCGACATGGCTTCTTCCGCTATAATATGCTGCTGGGCTCGAGCGAGAAATTCTTGAAACGTGTTCGGTTTATTTTGGCATAGCGTCCAGCGGAAAATCGAATTTGGCTTCAATCCAGCGATTGCCATGACCAGCAGGGTTTCAGGATGACAAGGTTCCATATTCTGAACTCGGTCATTGAAACGGGCAATATAATCCTTGACACTTTCATCATCTTTTTGAGTGATATTCGCAAGGGATTCTTTTGGGATAAGGCATACTTGAGCCCCGATAAAATGAGATCGGAAAGCCGACCTCAGTTGTTGCCACTTCCAAATTGAGTGAGGAGGAAGAGAGTGGTACCATTTTTGGGCCCGAGGCCCCAGTGTAAGTGAAAACATGCGACACCGAAGTGTGTCTGAGGCCCCATGCAAATCCATCCATGAAGTGTAATGACCGAGGTGCGAGTCCGGGTCAGATGTTCCATCATATAGCCCGATCTGGGGAACCTTAACTTTTCCAGGAACTGGTT